TCCATAACTATAAAAGTTGGACAAAATGTACTAACTCACTTTTTCATATTACCCAAGAAATACCTAGAGAATTATTTCAACACTTTAGTAGTGCTTAGGTCAAGCGATTTCACAATCATATCAATAAAGTTGAAAGCTTTTAAAAGTTTGAGGGACCGCCAATAAATTACGAACTAAAAAGAATGAACACCCTATGCCCAAGCTTTTAACTCATGTCAAGTCAATTACATTGACTATCGTATGAAATAACTGCACAAAATTTCAAAAACCTAGCTTAAATATTCATAGAGATATGGAGATTTTTATCCAAAAAAAACTTTTTTTTTGCTTGCGTTTTTTCAGTACGACTACAAATAAGTATTCAAAAAATTAAACAGCATTTTTGGAGTCATTTTTAAATAATAATAAAAATATAATTTGAAAACTTGAAAAAAAAATTTTAAAAGTTAATATAAGTATTTAAAGTTACATTTTCATACAGCGCATGCGAAGGGAATATTTTTTATAAAAAATTTAATAATTTTTTTTTGAATCGTGTTTGATAACTTATAAAAAAGTCAGATTTGAATATTTTAAAAATTTTAAAAGTTCTTAACAATTTTCCAAGTAATTCTTTGAATGGTTGGAGGTTTTCCCAACATTTAAATTTGAACTATTAAACAAGATTTATTAAAAATGACTTTGTCATTATACATGACCACACCCTATTAAATTATGTGTCATACACATTTTTTATTTCCTAATACCATCACATTTTGGTGTGCGGATCATCATTTTAGAGTATTATCATTTGTCATGAAATTTTATTTTAGAATACAAAATTAAATTTATAGAAAATCCCTTATCATTTAGGGCATTCAATGAAAAACCACTAAAGCTACTTAGAAATTTTCGAGAAACTTTTTGCATTTTCAAGGTATTCAAATCTTTTTTCATAGGTCACAAAATACGATTCTTAACAAAATTATGAAGAAAAAATTAAATATTTTTCGCGCGTGCCCTGTATGGAAGGATTAAATACTCATATCTTGCGCAATTTTTACGATTTTTTTTTTCAAATTTAATGTAATATTTTTATCATTAATTACAAATTGCTCCAAAAATTTTGTCTAATTTTATTGATTATTTCTGCAGTTATATTACGAAAATATATGAGTCAAAAGAATCTTTTTTTATAAAATTGTGCTTATCTTCATGAATATTTAAGCTTTATTGATATGATTGAGAAATTCCATGACTTAAACTCTTATAAAGTTTAACAGTTCTCTAAGTATTTCTTGAAAAATATACAAAAAGAAGTTTGTACAGAAGTGTTTCCATTATTTTGACCATAATTCTTAATTAGACTTTTTACATAAAAGTTAACTAAAACAAGTGTTATTTACTTTTCTCGTCACAAAAAAAATCGTTTCGTATATAGTTCAAAAATTATTCATTGAAATATTTACCATAAAATTTTTTCACTCAAATTTGTATGGTATTCCACATTTTACTTAATTAGACTATCAAATTAAAATTATATATTTACTTACTGTCACTTCACAAACAAATCATTTTGCACACTCTTAGAAAATTATAAATTGAAAATTCGGCAAAATTCTTAATTTTTTTTCAAAGCCGTACGGTCTTCCAAATTTTTATACATTTGCCAATAAAACCCCTGGTTGGAAATAATTTCAAAATTAAGCATTTATACCAATACTAAACAAATAACCCTCATCTGTGAACTTACAAATAACCCTTCAGGCAATCCTCGGATTTTTAGTACTAAAAAATGGTAAACAAGTTTTGAAAATATACCAAAACTTAAGTGCTCGGGAAAAGAATTAAGAGTATGTTGTCGTTAAAGTTGATGTACCCTTATTAAAGTACCAAGTTGGTACATATTACCGTGCAGGATTTTCTTCGTAAACTAATCGTAAAGACACAGTTCCCAGCAAAACATTGAATTCAAGCATCACTGGCTGTGGTTAGATAGCAGGTGGGTGACAACTTTGATCAGCCTGCGTAAGGAACGATGATGCGCGGTATCAGTCCTCGTTAAACTGTTCTACCGTAAAATAATCGACTGAGCACGCAGGTCGTCGGGATACCAAAGCAGGGGAGCCATCCCCTCTGCAGAAGCTCAAAATTGCGATGACGTGTCTTTGAATCAGTTTCCCAGACCATCGCCAATAGCCCATGCAACTCTAGTGGGACGACGTAAAGCAGTTCTAGCGCGACTTAATTAATCACCCATCCACTTTCTTAAGCTTGATTAGTCGAAATCCGGATTATGTTTCTAACTTAAAGGAAGCCTTGTTTAATTTTACAACTTATTAAAGCTGCGCATAACTGGCATGATATTTTGATTTATGCGAACAATATTACAGATCAAACATCAAAACGTTTTATTTCTGAATATAGTTAAGCCCTTTGTGCTTAGCATCCTTTTAAAAGCACGAGTTCTATTAACGAAAAGGGAAAAAGCAATAGCAGTAGTGATTTATTATTGAGATTTAATTTGTACGAATAAGACCGTCTATCAACGAAATATATTAAGAACATAAATATTAATATTTGGATCATATTTCGGAACAAAAAATTTGATATACCGTAATTTTAATAGTAATAATTACCCTGAAAGTTTATTAAGTACAAATGGCAGTCAATAATCACTTATTTTTAAAGCGTTTTGCATTTCGTATTTTACATGTTAAGAATTAATTTTATTTAAAAGGTTTAAATTCCGCTTTGGGAGTCATTTTAATGGTGAAAGAGATAAAAAGAAAGTGTTAAGAATTTATGTTAAAATGCCCCAAAGCAACTCGTTTTTCAAAAAAAAGGCTTTCTTTATCTGTATTGGAAGACTTAGAGAGGCTATGTTAAACGAACCGCGTTTTAAAAAGAATAATATTGACTAGAACGCATGAATACATTCATAACTTTTTCTTGCACGCTGTGGTGACGATGTATATTCTAGCCATACTTCTGCTTTTTATTTATTCATATTTTTTTCTCCCCTCGAGTGAAATCGTCTATCATTCTGAAAAATATCTAATGTGACCCTGCTTATTAAAAGAATTCATTTCAATAACTATTTGATAAGAATACTTAAATTCTCTTAGGTCGACAATTTTTCATTCAATTTATCAAATTTCAGAAACCTAATTTTTTTAGATTTTAATCTTCTATTTTAACCTTATTCTTTTAAGATAGATTTTTATCAATAACCTTTTTATTTTTTCTAGAAGCTCTTTGATACTTTTTAATAAAGCAAAACACGAACCTTTTCGTATACATTTAACAAAGAAAGCAAATATTATAGCTGTTTAAACACGATGAAAAAGATGATTACTTTTTAATTCATTTCGTAAAGAAATGCCATGCTCATTTTTTATATATTTAAAAAACATGCCGAAATATATTAAAAATTGTATAGTATATTAAAGTATATTAAAATACTCAAAATAAAAAGTAACATTTATTAAGGATTTGAATTTTTTTTTTTTTTTTTTTTTTCAACGCTTATGANTTTTTATTTTTTTTTTTTTTTTTTTTGCTTGAAAACAAATAATTGCAAAATCAAATAAATACTGTTAAAAAGTATTTTTAGGTACTGTTAACGGAATAGTAAATTAAGTCAAAATCTTTTATTAAACTTATTGCAGCACATGCACATGGTTAATAAATTTACATATTACAATATAAATTTACTAACTATGGTCTTTTAAATGAAGTTAAAATGTACTTTATAAAAAAGTTGAACACCATCTGCAAGATAAATGTTTTACATTGGTAAATTCATTCGTCTTGACTAGAATATCATAGTTGGGATTCATAGAATAATCGCTAAGGTTTGTTTCATTTCAAAAAGATTTTAAAAACACTTTAAGTAATATGCCAATGATTACAATTATTCTTAATATACGCAAGAAACCTTTCTTACATATGTTTTGCAATCAATTGTGTCACTAAATGATTTTTTTTTGTTTTATAAGCCCTGTTCTTTCCTTTGAACACTTGAGAAACGAAGTTAATTATAAATGCACTTGTAGGGGCGGAGTTATCGATCATACCAATCTTCATCTATCAAAAGGTACATCGTGATTGATTATATACCAGTGAATTGATGTGAAATTTTCGTAGTGGTAGTTACGCCACAATACCCCCCCCCCCCCCNTACGCCACAATACTCCTCCTCCAGAATTTTGTCAGAGATAGAATTCGATGAACGGATACCACTATCTGCTGTACTTGTGAAAGACCAGGAGAGGTGGATTAAGGTCACTGGGTTTTTGAGTGCTGAATGTGAGAGGTGTATTAACTTCACAATCGTAGTCGCTACTGTGTTGCCATTAGCAGTCGAGTGTATGCCGGCAGCCGTTGTGTTTAATCGAGACGAGACTGAGTAGCAACAACATGAGGACGATTGGATAATGTTGCAGTCGCAAGTAGCAAGTCAACTGTTCAATGTGGACCATCCAACGAAGTAGGCGTTGTCAGATTGAAGTGGGAGTTACTGTCAACAGTTTTGCGAAGTGGGCGTTACTGCGTGTTCAAATCACGTCCGGGTCACCAATGTGAGGGCGGAGTTATCGATCATACCAATCTTCATCTGTCAAAAGGTACGTCTTGATTGAATCAAGTTAGCATGTCTTATATACCAGTGAATTGATGTTTAATTTTCGTATTGGTAGTTACGCCACACACTCATCAATACATTAAACACTTTACAAAGTCAGTCATCGAAGCTTACTTAATTCTAAATATTTTATAACACGCTCTAGATCAGTGGTGGGGAAACTTTTTTTAAGACGGGCCATTTGTAGTAACTAGACAATCGTAGCGGGCCGAAGAATAATGCTTAATCGTTAAAAAATGTATGTGTTCTAAAAACATATACATATATTATTACATACACTTATTATTTTAATAGTAAAAAAGCAAAAGGTAAGAAAATTATAAGCACAAAATATAAAATGAATTTAGTGCAGTTCTTGATGTGAAGTATTATCATTTTATTTTCTGGTGTCATTACCGGTTGATGGTGCATGAGAAAAATGAAATTGAGACTGTTTCTTCAAAATTTCATCATAGTCCGGTTCCATTTGCGAAGCAGAAATTCTTAAAACTGATGAAAGGTGCTCATCTGTAATTCTGTTTCTTAAAGAAGTTTTCCTAAGCTTCATTGTTGAAAAGATTTGTTCGCATATATAAGATGAGCCGAACATTGTCATTATCTTCATTGCATGAGTAATTAGATTTGGGAAATTATCTGGACTTAAATTTTTATAAAATTCTAGTAATGGTACTGTATGAAAAGTTTGTTTCAGGAGAGTATTGCAATTCAGCTCTATTAACTCAAGTTGAAATTTTGCATCAACTTCTTCGTAATTAACATTGAATGGGGTCGCAAAAACACTAAACTCTGGTTCCATTTTTCTAAAGTCCTGAAATCTCCTTTCAAATTCTGAAGATAGTTTTCTCAAATTAATTTCGTATTTTTTAATCTTATTGTTTGATATAGCGAATTTTAAAGATTGTATTCTTGGAAAATGAGAAAAATCAGATTTAGAGATCTGATTAGCAAATAATAATAACTGTAATTTGAAACTTTTCAGGTATTGCCAAATATCATGAAGAAACTGATTTTTTCCTTGCAATTTGAGATTAAGTATATTCATGTGTACGAGGAGGTCTGGGAAAAAAGCGAAATCAGAAAGCCACGTTTCGTTTACTAAGACGTCAAATTGATTATAAATGTCTTTATCAAGAAGAAAATTCACAATATCGTCTTTTAAGTCCCAAATTCTTTCAAATACTTTTCCAGCACTTAACCAACGAACTTTTGAATAATACAGGATATCGGAATGCTCAGCATGTACGGACTCCAAAAACTGTTGAAACTGGCGATGTAATAATCCTCTGGAGCGAATCATATTTACTAGTTTTACAACAATATTAAGTAGTATATGGACAATATCTGAAGCCAATTTACAGAGAGGGTATCCTGATGTATAAGGCAATGCAAAAAAACAACATCATTTTCCGGATACTTAGAATTAAATTTCCCAACAAATCCTTGATTGATTCCAACCATATTAGGAGCACCATCTGTAGTTACATTACATAACTTATCAATAGGTAAACGAAGTTTATCGATGCAATTTTCAAATTCACAAAATATATCGGCACCAGTCGTTGTTCCTTTCATTGACTGCAGCCCTGCAAGTTCTTCTGTAATTTCAAAGTGGGCGTTGATTCCTCTTACAAATATGAGTAACTGTGCAGTATCGCTGATATCTGTACTTTCATCCATGGTAATTGAATAAAAAATAAATTTTTGAGTTTTTGTAGTCAGTTGTGAAATTAGATTTTTATCAATATTTTCAATTCTCTCGGTGATTGTTCTTCTTGAGAGAGACAGTGACTGAAAATCATTTTTCTTTTCAGGGCACATAATATCGCACACATCTATCATGCACTGCTTTATAAATTCACCATCTGAAAATGCTTTATTAGATTTAGCAATATTATAAGCCAACACATAACTGGCTTTCGTAGCGCATCTTTGAGAATGATTAGCTCTCTGAAATAATTGTTGTTGACTTGATAAATTTTTTATTAAATCTTTCGATTTAATTTTTTTCACCTCTTCACTTAACGATGAGTAGGAGTGGTTTTCATGTTTGCTCTTGAAATGGCGTTGAATGTTATATTCTTTTAAAACTGCAACAGTTGTATTGCAAAGTAAGCACACAGGTTTTTCTTTAAATAAAGTAAAGAAATATTTCCACGTCCATTCTTCTTTAAAAACTCGACATTCTGAATCCACTTTTCTTTTTTTAACATCCATTTTAGACGTTACCTACTACGGAGAACAACACACAGAAACGCAATTGACGAAAGCTTACTGCTAACTAATGCTCTTGCGCGGGTGTTTGCGCGGGTCCTCTTAAAATGAAATTATAATTTTATTAAACTTTTATAACGTTTATACAAAAATTGTAAAGCAGTTTGAAGCAAAGGAAACAAGAACTAGAGCAGACGCAAATCGCGAAGCTTTTTGGTTGTGATTGGTCAATTCATTTTCATGTGACGTCACAGTACCCTCCTCTTTGGATATTCATGGGCAAAATTCTGTATTCATGAAATTAAAATAGTTCTTCAATATTTTGATAACTGTCAATTAATGGCCTATTATATTTTGGAGAACTTCGTGAATTTATATTTCCCAGGCAAGATTGAGTTCTATTTTGGAAGATTAAAATTGCCACTCGAGTGTAGGAACGAAAATCAGTTTAGAACTGCTTTTGAGTCTTCGGCCCACGGACTATTGAGGCAGTGGGAGTTTCGGGGATTACACAAACAATTACTCGAGTCACAGCGGGTCGTTGCAGATGACTGACTAAGTCGCTAACTAACTGATCTTCGGGCGGCCTCGCTTGTATTTATACCTACCTGCAAGGATTGTTCGGGAATTGGATTTTTCCGGTTCTTTCGAGAAAACAGAACAATGAATCGAAAATGCGAGAGTGTCTGGAAGTTTCGAGCGAAGATGAGTCATCTGTTTAGGTCGGATGGATTTGTCCAGAATACTATTGTGTTTTGAATATCGCCGCAGGTAGTTTTTATGCGGGTCGTCACATTACGAAGTAAGAACGCGTTCAAACATTCTCACGACGGCACTCTTAAACGGGCCGGATTAAACCTTTCCGCTGGCCGGAATTGGCCCGCGGGCCGTAGTTTCCCATCACTGCTCTAGATAATGAAAAAATTTTAAAACAATTATTATTCTATGTCTCGTATAAGAATAAATAATATGTAACAAATTAAGTTAAAGCTTAAAAACAACATAAATCATTTCTGAGAAGTACAAATTAAAATACCTCAAATATTTTCATTCGTAGTTTAATTCTATTCTATTCTAACTCTATTTCTTAAATACTTATATCTTTTAAACATGAGCTATTTTTTTCTTAAATAGGCTGAATATATTGCTGTCTGATAGTTTTATCCAGTATTGAATAAGTTAAAAGCGCCACGATAAATGATATTGAGAGAAACTGAAAAATACGAATATATTTTTCAAACATCTGCGCCCATTTTAAATAAAACATTACGTTATAAGATTTGCATAAATTTTATTCCCGAAACTATGTTCTCAATGTATTTTATAATACGGAAAATAAAGATTAATGAAAATATTCATATAAAATAATTAATTTACCATCATTTCACAACTACTAATGAGGAAACAAATGTTTTCATAAATAGTTAATATATAAAAATATTTTCATTAACAATGTTAAAAAGAAATATAAAAAATCATAAAGGTTTTTTAAAGAACACTCTTTAGAAAATGATTTAGAAATTAGATTAGTTTTTCCTTTTTAATTAAAAAGGACAATAATTTGTTGCAGATTTTTAACCAATGGGTTTTGAAGGTGCTTCAAAAAATGCTTCGATATTGTTTCATTGGGAAAAAAAATAATTTTTGCAGATAATAAAAAAATTCTGCAAGGTTTTTATTTCGAAATACTTTGTATTGGTTACCAAAATCACTTTCATGAGATTTTCTAATTGGAAGCGTCGCAAAAATTAATATAAAAATAAGTTTTGGTTGCAAAGATATAAAAAAAATGAAATATTCTTCAATAAAATATGCATAATATAGAGTCTGGAGTAGTCTCATTTGAGTCAAGCTTCTTCATCTGTGACTGAGTATCCGACTGAAAATTGAATCAGCAAAACATGAATAGTAAAACAATCCATATTCATGAAATAGAGATAACTTATTTTGAAAAAATCTACATTTATTTTTTTCGCACTAAATTCTTTACTTACTATCTTTACTTTGCGTACAAGTACTTAATTCTGTCTTTACGAGCTGCATTTTTTGTTTTACTTTCTTCGATAGAAAGTTCTATTTTCACCTTTTTTTAAAATTCTTTCGTAATACTGCTTCTATTTAGGCTTAATATTGCTTCTATTATTGGTTCATACTGCTTCTATTTATGAGTAATACTGCTTCTGCTTATGCGTAATACTGCTTCTATTTATGCGTAATACTGCTTCGATTTATGTGTAATGTTGCTTCTATTTTCGTAATACTGCTTCTATTTTCGTAATATACTTCTTCTATTTATGCTTAATATTGATTCTATTATCGTAATACTGCTTTTATATGAGTAATATTTTCATAAAATGGCTTCTATTTATCCGCCATACTGCTTCTATTTATGCTTAATACAGTTTCTCACTGTTTTCTTCTCTAATAACTTATTTTTAGATGAAGAAATGGCACCACGACTGTATTTTAACGCTTTGCTTACGGGTGTACCATGTTGTACCATCACATGTGGTATACGTGTTGTACCAGCCGCATGCAAAAGGTTAAAATTATAAATAGATATTTTGTGCCTAACATAGAAATTTATTCATTCGGCTTATTTATGTCTACATTCTGTTTTTAAGCCAAAATAATTCTTACAGCTTAAAATTTTATCTAAAAACGTACATAGTACAACCATAGTACATACATTTCTCTAAAATAATTATTATTTGGCAATCTTCTTCATCCTTTTTTAAAATAATCAAAAAAATATCGTGGCAGTGCTCTGCTACTCTGTGATTTTGAGCAATATAAATTCTATACTTTTTCCATAAAGGAATTCTTTCATAAATTTACAATAGTACTAGCAGATTTCCAAAACAATTATTCTTAAAAAATCTTTTTTTATAGGTACAAAATAATCTAAAAGCAGTTTGGAGTGTTCTGAGATTCTGCGGTTTTATATAGCTTGTATTCTAATTTTTATCTCAAAACAAATTTTTTTTATTGAAAGAGATTTTTCCCAGTATATGCACACATATTTTTTTTTTTTTGAAAATCTCTCAGTAACATTTTTTATAGCTTTTGAAATAACCAATTCAAAAGAAAAATGTAAAATGATCTTAATTCTACAGTTAAGTTCGAAAAAAAATGAAATTAAAAAAAAAAACATAATTGCTAATAAAACATTAATTCTGATAGCAATACATTGTATTTGAAATTCGCTCCAAAACACAGAGCCTAGCTTTCTATTTTTAATACTTTAAATTATTTTTAATATTATATTTAATAATATTTTAATGAATCTTTATATTTTTTAAATAATTTTGAAACTATGCTCTTCTAATGAAATAGATATTTCTTCAACATTTTTTGTAAAATAATGTTAGTTTAAGAAAATTAAAAAGTGTAAGAAAACTTGAGACAAATTGTGTAAAAACACCCTTAGCGTTGTATGCTAAAATTCATTTCTTTCCTTCCATTCGTTTTTGTTTCAAATTTATTTTTTATTCTTTTCTTCACAATATTTTCATCACTTTCATCAAAGAAAATTTTAATAATACGTACATATTTCCAATTCAAAAATCCTTCTTTGACAGAAAATTTTCTTCTTTGTATCGCTTCTGAAATAATCAATTCAAAAAGAAATTATAGGAGTGTACTGAGATGATCTGAGAACAAGTTTACACTCTCTAGAGAAAAAGATTTCCCTGATGTAAAATATTGAATTTCCAAGATGCATTATTCTATTTAAAATTAAATCCCAGGGGTTCGTTGTCGGTTTTCCTGAAAGATATTTTCATTTTAGACCAATCTGTTTCCAAGAATTCTCGTATAAGCATCCTCCTCTATTTTGTTCTCTTGACAGGTAGGTATGCAAAGCAAAAAGCTAAATCCTTTTTTGAAATAGTTGAAAATTTTAATATATATATATATATATATATATATATACACAGGGGATAGATAAAATAATGAAAACACTTCTATGCAAATACATTTTTTCTATTTCTCAAGAAATTCTTAATCATTTTATAACTTCAGAAGCGTTTAAAACATGAGATTTTTCACACAAATTAATGAAGTTTAAAGCTTTTTAAAGGTTTG